CATTGGTTTTCTGTTTGTTTTAAATTTTGTTGGGATGGAGGAATGGCTATATATTCTTTGGTCTTTTGAAGTTGTATATCCTGGCTTTTAATTATACAGGGTGTCTCATTGGTGATTTTTTTAAATGAAATTTAATATTTTGTGTTGTCTTTTTGACCACCAAGAAGATAGGCTTTATTTCAGAAGTGTGAGTAGTTTGCCTGGATGGCTGGGGAACTGGTCTCTGACTCCCTAGCCTGACTGTCCCAAAAAGAAAAATGTTTAGGGCATCTCCCCTGGGCGTCAGAAGGAGGTTCTAGGCTTTCCAGGGTGGCAGCGTAAGAGTAGAGTGTTTAGGTCTTCCTCTTTTCTAGCTGTATCTGCATTTCAATATAAGGCTTCTTGGCCTTTGCCGGGCATGGTTCCCAGAAAGTCCCTCTACTGCTGCTGCCCTTCCTGATCAGGTTTCTGGATCTATTATTAATAGACAACAGTGGGGGAAGGGTCAGGTTAGTTATGGAAATAGGAACAACCAAACCAGAAAGACAGTTCCTGTGCCTGTGGCCCTGTCTGTCTGCTCCCTCCCCGATTTAAAGAGCATCCTGCAAAGGCCATGTCTTCTGAGCCACTCTTTGGATCTCTTCTGGACCTGTGAAGGTCTTCTAGTGCCAGCCCCCAAAATCAGAACACATGATCTGGGAGCACTGGTATGTTTACGAGGACACTGAAACAGAATATTTGAGATCTAGACTCTCCCAGAAAATCCAGGATAAGAGATAATACCCGTCAAAGAACAATTGGAAGGGAAATAGGCTGGGCAGCAATTAGGTGAAGCAAATAGTGTCTCAGAAGTAAACCATGCATAGTCCTGGAATGTTCAAGAAGAGTGGAGAATATGAAGAGTAAGCGTGGAAAAAATAGGGGCATGATGATGCTGGGAAAGTAGAAATGAGAGAGTGAGACAAGCATGGGAGACATGGCCTCTATTGAGTAAAATTTGAAGTCAGCACTGTTTAAATATTGAGACCCACCCCCCAATCTTTCTGTTCCCATGAATGGCCTTCCTCTTCTGCCTCCCCTCTCTGTATACTACTCTTCTATTATCAAAACCTGCTCTCAGTAGAATACGGTAAACTCAACCTAGATTTAATTGTGGAAAAACCAGTAGGGCTTCAGAAATTACCAGTTGAAAGATCTGAAACCCTCTTATTGGAAACTATAACACAGGTGTAAAAAATGACTTAAAGAAAACATATAGCTTAATAAGTTCCTAAAAAGTGAAGACCCTTGGTAGCACCCAGAACTAGAAATAGAACTTGGCCAGCTGTTTCAGAAGCCATCTTCATGTCCTATTCATCACAACCCCCACCTCCTCCCAAAAGTAACCACTATCCTGACATTTATGGTAATCACTTAGGAGGATTGTATTTTAATGGAACTAAAGTTTTAGCTATAAATAATCACTAATGGTAGAATATTAGGCAGTTGAGTGTTCAGGGGAATCATGAGAGGCAGCCTGATCTCAGCACACTTAAAATCAAATCATTTCGTGCAGTTAGTTCACTCTGTGCCTATGATTAAGATATACCTCACAAGAAATGGATCCCACAGAAGTCCAAGTACAGGGCTGAGACCTATGCCCTCAGCTACCTTAGTGTCATCCACTGGTCCAGACAGAGCCATAATCTGCAGTCATTCTAAGGCAGAGCAAAAGTAGGTCCCAGCTCACAGTGCTTGGGAGAGTACAAGGGACTGGCTGTCTGCTGCTGAAATGGAAGTCCAGGACATTACCTAAACTTCCCTGAGCCTCAGTTTCTCACTGTGAAGTATGGGGCCATATAAATCCCTTTACAATCCCCTATTCCCCTCCTACTTGTTCCCCTTTCTTCAATCTTGGTTTCTGTTTCAGCTGCCTGTTCATTCACCTATGTAAGAAGCTCATTACCTTCCTTTCCCAGTTAGATGTCTTTTCAGTATTGTGCTCCTCTTTTTGCCCTTGATTCTTACACAACAGTCTGTTTCATCTCCTCACACATTTTTATAAACAGGCATGTATGTCTTTGCACATTGGAGGTGCTGAACAAATGCTCATTGCATGAATGAATGTAAAGAACAAATGAATTCCTGTATACATTCCTTCAGTATTTAGTGAGTGCCTGATATACACACAGATACGAACCTGTCCCTCTACACTCCAAGATCATCCTCTCCTTCCTTTCTCCTCATCTTCCTCCTTTTCCATCATCCTTCTTTTTTCCTTCCTCTGTGCCACAGAGCTAGACTGAGCGCCCTGCAAGGCAGGATGCAGAGACACAGAAGCAGGCCGGCTGGTGGAAATGGACACCATAGAAAGGGGCCAGGTGAAATAAGGGCAAAGACAGCTGTATAACATACAGAGAGAAACTGACCAGAATGAAAAGCAGTGATTCATGGAGCACTGCAACTCAGACACTCCTTGGATTTCACTTTGATAGCTCTGGCGGGATTGGGGTCAAGATGAAGGGCAGCCAGGCTCCTCCTCCCTAGAGAAGTGTGCCCCAATCCCTCTCCTTAATCCTTTTCTACCCACTCTGTCCCTACGATTCTCTCACTGACCAGTGTCCTGGGCCTTTAAGAATTGGATGGGCTGGACCGAGGAGAGAGCTCACACTTCTCTCCACCCTACTCCTTCCCTCTGGCTGTAACTGCCAGTCACAGCAGCAAACTGCAGTAGAAGAGGGGAGGAAGCCAAAAGGAGAAAAGGAGCTGGCCGGGTTTACTCATCCCACAGAGGAGAGTGTCGCAGAGCTCACAGACACAGGACTGCTATCCTGCCCACGGTAAGTGCCTAGAGGCTCTGACCAGCCTCTGCTCCAAGCTCTGACCTGCCTGAGTCCCTAACTCTGCCCTCCACATGCTTTCCCACCCTGATTTAATTGCACCCTGGACTCCTGTGTTGGAACAGGTCGACAAGGCTCTCACCTCCTGTTTCTCTCTAGCTTATCCTCTTTGGCTTACAGTTTTCCTGCTGGCTGTGTCAGTCACCTCTTTATATGGGACTTCTTAACTACCCAGGGATGCCACTCAGATGTGAGCCCTACCCTAGTAAGGGAAGAGAGAGAATTGGAGCAGCCATGCTTTAGCATAGATTCATTAACAGACTGTTAAGGATTACTAGATGAGGGCCGAGATCTATGAGAAGTATGGAAACCCCTGGTAATAAGGAGAGGAGTATGAAACTTCCTTGGAAAGAACAATTATCTTGTTCTTCACCAGCTCAATGGGCCAGGGTAGTCTGTTGGCATGCCCCAGTGCTATGCTGGTAAGAGCACTTGCTTCAAGTCCTGCCATTAACTAGCTATGCGACTTTCAATAGCATCTTCTTGATCTGTGATAAGAGGAAGTTTAGGGTTTTCCAGACTTGCCTGTGTATTGGGTGCTTGGTTAAAAATAAATCTTCCTGAGCCCCATCCTTAGAAGTTCTGATCTGGTTGATTTGGGGTGGGGCTAAGGAATCTTTGTTTTAAGACACTCTCCAGAGGGTGTTGAGATAGCCAGGAACCTCTGGATTAGATGTGCTATAAAAGTCTTCAAGCTCTAACATTCTGAGGGTTATAACCCATGACCGGAGCCATTCTGTCCTCTTTGTATGAACCAGATCAGGCATACTCCTGCTGAGAAGCTAAAGAGAAGCTATGAGCAAAATGACCTGTGTCTTCCTGTCCCTCAGAGAGACCTGAGCCACTCTGAATTCCACTGTAATGCCATTAGCACCTTTGGCAATTCTGCCAAAGTCCATCTCTAGGTAACATAAGCCACCTGGAAGTTGAGGACCAAATCTTGCTCTGCAGCCCTGGCCACTTCCTACCTTATTTTGTGTCTCAGTTTTCTCATCTGTATTACAGAGGAAATTACCTATATCCTCAAGGATCTCCACAAACGTGTCCAGGAGTAAACAGTTATGACCCAGTCTCTTACTCTCAGTCTTCATCCTCTGTCCCTTGTCTCTTGCTTCCATCCCAAGTCTTTTTTCTCTTCTCTTTTGATGCACCTGCATCAGCTGTGACCATCCTTTCATCCTACCCTCAGACACCAGAGGAAACACCAAGACCTAGAACACCTGGGTTCTAAGTCACATTCTCTGCACAGTTTGTTTAGTCAGTCTCCTAGGATACGGGAGAAAGTGAGGCTGAGCAGAGGGATGTACTACTGGACCACAGTTTCAAAATCCTCACAGGGGCAGAGAACCATAAAAAACGGAGGAAGAGGTGATGGGGAGAAAGGATGAGGAGAAGAATGAGAAGAGGAGAGCAAAGAGAGGCTGACAAGTGAGCAAATAAAGAGGCAGAGAGGAGATCAGGAGAGAGAAGAGTGAGCTGGGGAGAAAGAAAAAGAAAGGGTCAACCCTTTCTAAGGGTATAGTCTTGGTTAGATCTTTAAGCTAGTCATATAAAGACCTTGGTTCTTGTCTCTGAGTTTGCCATTTAATTCATTAGGTGACTCTGGCAGGTCAGCTAATCTTTCTAGTCCTCAGTCCCGTTCTCTATTAATGAACTCCAGCTCTGACATTCTTTGGCTCCTTGTATTGAAATTGGCCATCTTATGGCCACATGTCACCTGGATACAGGTTTAGAATAGTGATTCAGAAATGGGAGCAGGATTTGAAGAGCTCGCCAAGCCCTGGGGTTGGCAGAATTTGACAAAAGAAAATAAAATAATTTTCTAAGGCTGGTCTGAGAGGAAGTAGGCTTCAAAATAAGGCCATCCTGGCACTTGGACTCTGTTCTCAGGCTTCCCATGTTTTAGGACATCATTGTGAGGCTCCTGGACACAGATGTAAGGGAAGGTAATTCTATCTTCCCCCAAGATCAAGACCTATGCCCCAGACATGGGAGCTAAAGTTCAGAAGGGAGGGAGATGAGGTAGGATTCTGGCAAGTGAGATTAGATTTCAGCCCTAGGCTGACCCCACCACCCTCCCCAGAGTCTGAGGAGTTGAGTCACTTAGGAGGGACCTGTTACTTTCTACTTCAGTTTTCATACAGCTTTGGCAAGCCTCAGATTCTAAACTGGGCATCTCCACACAGAAAAGCAGAAATGATTTTCTGTCTCCAAGGAAGCACTCTGGGGCCCTTCTTCGATCCAAAATTTCCTCACCCAGGCTCACATATTCAGCTTCAGCCAGCAAAACCCTTTCTTCTTGGAACCATTCAGGGTTTTTTTTCTCTCTTGATATCTGCCTTGAGTTCTCTTTCCCACTTAGGTACAGACTGATCTCCAACCTCCCTCTCTCCCTCTGATTTAGAAAGCCTACTCATTTAGAAAGCCTTCCCTAGGTCCTGCAGTCAGGGAAGCTGTATTTTCAGTGACTTCTACCTTCTTCCTAAAGACCTTGTCATCCCCAGCTGACTTTATAGGCTCTTCCCACTAAAGAGAGATAGAGGGCACTAATATCCTATGTGACCTCAGAGAAGTCACATCACATTCCTAGATTTCTGCTTTTTCATTTGTAAAATATAGGAAGGAGCTGCAGGATGTTCTAATGGAGCATTAACTGAATGATTACTTCAGAGATTCATTTAGTTTTTTGGATGTTCGCCATGTCAACATTTTAAGCTTATCAATTAAAAAACATTTCTATTCAAATGTAGATCCTTTGTTTATACAAAAGCATAGAGTTTTATGTTTCATGAGCTTTGCCAATTTCAGAATGATTTGGTCAAGAGTTGAGTATTTCTAATAGGGGCAGAGCTAGAATCAAAGTGGCCACATATCAAATTTCTAGTTCTTTTCAAGGGAACTTTCTTGTTACCTACTAGGACAACTGAACCAGGTCCTAAATTAGCATGTATGGTAAAGGAGATACTCTTTTTTAGTTGGCGGAGAAGAAAATGCAATTCCAAGACTGTAATTTCTCTGATTCATCAAAACTGTGAGAATAACTGTTATGAAAAGGAGTATAAAATATGTTTTACCATGTGAAGATAGAAGAAGATGGCTTATTTAGCTAAGTAAAGCCCTGTGTTGTAGAAATGACAAAGGAAATCCTCTGCTGTAACCCTTCAGAGCTGGATGATCTATATGGGAACATGGAGAGGGCTCCCAGAATAGGGAAGCTGGGATGATTCCATGGAGAAGGCCAGGATGTAGAGAGATTCTAGGTTCTGAAAGAGCAGCCAGCCAGCTCCTGAGCAGTATGACACAAGGTTACCTTGTGGACTGCGGGGTATTGGGAAGGAGAGGGGTGTTTGGCAGAAAGCCCTGGTTTAGCTCTCCCTGGACTAGGCTATGGGAAACAACAGAGGATCTGAAATCGGACACACTTGGCGTTAAATTCTGAATCCCTATATGATTTGGTGCAGGTTTCTTAGCCTCTCCAAGCTTCATAGTCACCAAATTCAAATTAGAAGTAAAAAGAGCTACAGACTGTGTAGATGAAATGCCTGACACATAGTGGGCAGTCCGGAAACACTGGTTTCCTTCTCTTCCTCCCTAGATCCATTATTCTAAGACCACCAAGATTAATCCAGTCTTTTGCTCTTTTAGGTGACTCTGGCGCCAGCTGGTGGAGCAGAGGGTGATGGCATCCCTGCTGCAAGGCCGTGAGTATCCCTGAAGAAGAGGGCTTGGGGAGACAGCCCAGGGACAGGGAGGAGGCTGGACCCCAGGTTCAAGAGCTCCTCCCGGGCCCTCCATCCTCCTGGCTGGCTATCTAGTACGTGCTTCTCCTGGCCCAGGGGTGCCTGTCAATGAAGACGTGCTGCTGATGCAGAAAGGCACGCTGATGCGCAAGGTGAGGTCCAAAATTTGGAAGAGACTAAGATACTTCAGACTTCAGCAAGATTGCATGACAGTCTGGCATGCCCGACAGGCTGGAGGCAAAGCCAAGCCCAGCTGTGAGTGACATGGATAGCTAGGGTGGGCACATGGGTGGATAGGATCCTGAGGAGCCCAGCATCCTGAGAGCAGGGGAGGGACCAGGGTTCTATGATGTATCCTTGTACTGTCCCACTTATATCTATGTCTGAGCCTATAAAATGGAAATTATAAGAGTACTTGCTCTTACGGCTGTTATGAGATTAAATTAATTATTGCATGTAAGGGGCTTGAAAGAGTCCTGGCACTTAGCAAGGCTCAAGAAATCGTAGGTTACATATTGTTATTATTATCATAATAAAAGCATGATCTCAGGCATTGGACTGCTTGGATTAAAGTCCTGACTCAGCCACTTTCAAGCTAAGTGGCTTTAGACAAGTTACTTAAACTAAGCTTCAGTTTCCTCACCTGTAAAATGAGAATTAAACAATATCTGTCTAGTAGGTTACAGGGTCTCAATAAATTAATGTCTAAAGCATGGGACCTGAAATCAGGATGCATTTGTTAGCTATTATGGAGACTATTTCAAAATATCGTAAATGCATCATAAGTGTGCATCCTATTGGCTAAACTTTATGATCCCTCTAAAAATCTGATCACAGGACACATCTAAGAGAGTCTACTTTAAAGACACAATCAAAGCTCACAATCCACACCACCCCCAGATGAGGAATGGGGTGGAAGAATTTCTCTGGCTCCCTCTTAAACAGCTAGAAAGAGGAAGTCCTCAAACCTGGAATGGGAAAATTGAACTTGGGCATATTGTGCTTTGGCGTAACTGCTTCTACCCTGCAAGTGTGTCTCCATTTGTCAGCCTCACCAGTCCCCTTGTGATCACCATGTGCACTGTCCATGTAAAGGACCATCCCTTACTTAAGATGAGGACACTGAGGGTTAAGTCATACTACCAGCTGATGGCTGGAAGCCAGGTCTTGCCATTCCCAACACAATCCCTTTGCCATGTTGCCTATGAAAACAGTGATGATACATTTGCAATCCTGAATCCCAGAGGTCTGCATCTCTCTAGACTAAGGTTTTTGGGGTTTCAGCCTGTGTAAGCTGGGGTCCCCCCACTCTATGGCTTCACAGAGAAGAGAATAATGGTCTTTGATCCTTAGCCCCTGAGATTTGGCAGACTCTCTTCCTCAGTGCCCCTATTTGCTTCTTCTCTGGCAGTCTCAATCTCTGATGTGGAGACAGTACGTAAGGGCAGTGAGTCTGAATTGTTGCGCAGCCTGGCAGAGGAGTTCCCTCTGGAGCAGGGCTTCACCGTCGTCTTCCATGGCCGCCGCTCCAACCTGGACCTGGTGGCCAACAGTGCTGAGGAGGCCCAGACCTGGATGCAGGGGCTCCAGCTGTTGGTGGACTTTGTCACCAGCATGGACCAACAGGAGCGGCTGGACCAGTATCGGCAGGATGGAGCCAGAGTGGGGTTTGGGGGTCACTGAAGGAGCAGGTGCTGCAGGGCTAGGAACAGGTGCGGGGGGTGGGGGAGGGTTGCAGGGCTAGGAAGGCCCAAGAGTCCGGATGGGGTGGCAGAGGCAACTCAGGCTGATGTGAGGCTGAGAATATTGATAGAGAAATGAAGGCTTGAGACATAGCCAGGCAGAGTCTGGGCATGAATCAAGCCCCCTAGGATTGAGGGAACAGACAGTGAGAGGCAAACGACCAAACAGGGTACTGATCCCGAGAGGTGAACGGAAGCATTAATTACCACAGTGGCATTAATTACCACAGGGGTGGGAAGCAACCCTTTAAAGGGCTTAGTGGTATCAACTCACTTCAAGTTTCCTAGATTGTATTCACCTTCTATGCCTGTTCATTCAGGCATTCATTCATTCATCCATCCATCCATCCATCCATCCTTCATTCATTCACCATCCGTTAAGCAGAATGTATTAGGCACTATGTCAGGCTTTAGGGGTACAAAGGTTAATGAGACTCAGATCTTGTTTTTGTTGGTAAAAAGGATGGAGTTTTGTGAATAATCTAAGTACTATGGAAGTGTTATGGTACTTAGATTATTTGAGGGTGTTTGAAGGAAGGAGAAATATATAATTCTAGCTGAGAGAATTCTTAGAAAGCTTTAGGGAGGAAGTAGCATTTAAGCTAACCCTCGAAAATGAATAGAATTTGAACATGAAGAGAAGAGGAGGAAAAAGCATTTCTGCCTGAGGGAACAGTGCGAGTAGAGGCCCAGAGATAGGAAACTGAAGAGCTGGAGAGAGAGAGGGACATTAGAGAGCAGGGAGTTGAGGGTCTGGCTAAAGTACAGAGAAAACAGAGATGTGTTGAGAAGGCTAAGTAGGGGCCAAATCATGGTGGTGCAGGAGATCTTAACTTCCTTGTTAAGGAATTTAGGTTTCTTTCTGCAGGCAACAGAGAGGTACCTGCAGGTACCTGAGGCATGCCGGAATAAGATAGATTGGTATTCTGGAGAGATTATTCTGGAAGCTAACATGGAAAATTAATTGGCATAGGAGAGATATGGGCAGGAAAGACGGGAGAGATGACAGTGGATGAACATGCACCAACATCTGCACACACACACACACACACACACACACACACACACACACACAATGCTTTTGCCTTGACTCGGACCTGGATGGCTGAGTGACTGGTTCCAGCGTGGAGACAAAAACCAGGATGGTCGGATGAATTTCCAAGAAGTCCAGCGGTTACTGCACCTGATGAATGTGGAAATGGAACAAGAATATGCCTTTCAGCTTTTCCAGGTGAGTCTTCTGGGGAAGGATTTGCAGAAGCCAGCGTCAGCCACATTTTCACTTGACCAGAAATACTCCAATCCTATCCAGCAACACTCATTTATCAAATCTCTACTATGTGCCCTAGCACTATGCCATGCTCAAGGGGAAGTGTAGGCCATGGTTCTTACTCTTCAGTCTTGTTGGTTTCTTCTATGAACACCATCAGATGTTCTTTGGAAGCATTTTGGATCCATCTGTCAGCAAGACTCTCCTTACAAAACAAGTCAAGGCCATGAAGTTTGCTGTTAAAGGGTTCGTCCACTCTCCTCTAACTCCTCTTGCAGGCAGCAGACGGGTCTCACTCTGACACTTTGGAAGCAAAAGAATTTACAGAGTTCTATAAGGCGTTGACTAAGCGTCCTGAGGTGCAGGAACTATTTGAAAACTTTTCGGCTGATGGACAGAAGTTGACCCTGTTGGAATTTGTGGATTTCCTCCGAGAGGAGCAGAAAGAAGGAGATCACGCTCCTGACCTTGCTCTAGAACTCATCGACTGCTACGAGCCTTCAGATAGTGGTAAGAGAGCCAGAGCAGAGCGGCACCAGACATGAGAGAGAGCAGGGGTGACTGACAAGTAGGGTCCAGAGACTAGCAGCCTAACTCAGGGAGGCTGAGGCCACGCCTACTCTGGTCCCTTCCCCAGTCATCTTCATCTTATTCAACCACTCCTCTGGAAGGAGAGCCGTCATTTCCTACTCAGACAAGACAGGGGTCTCCTCTGTAATGCTAGATCTCTCAGGAGGAATAACATCACATAAGTCCCCTTTCCTCTACCATGCTTATGTTTCACATGCTTATGTTCTTCCTGATTTCAACCTCTGGCTTGAGTGGAAACAGAAAATCCTTGGTACTCTTGCTTTGGCCTCTTCTCCTCCAATGCATATGATTCCTTTTCTCCTAGTTCCCTTCCTGGTTCCTGTTTGCTGTCTCTTTAAATGCCGGCTCTCTGCCCTTTCCTGGGCTTTCTCCAAATTCACCAAATGGTTCTTGAAGCCTCCAAGCCCCGGAAAGCCCTTGGAAGCTTAGTCAGCCTCTGGCTGAGGGGACAATAATGAGGCCAATCATTTAGCTTTTAACAAACACAGCTAAAATATATCTTCTCTGCCCTCAACCCTTTCTCCTTGCCTTTTTAGTAGGTGTCTTCCTGCCCTCCATTCCCTTCAGAATGTGAGGAATTTACATTATTAATAAATTTTTTACAAGGCACTTTCACATGCCTTATTTCATGTTCCTCACTACAGCCTTATAAATCAAAAGCAATAATCTTGATTAGGCCTTTGCTAAGTATCCCATAATGTGCCAATATTTCTACATGACTTTTTTCTTCTAATCTTTTCTCAATGGCAAGTTAAAGTAAATTCTATTGTTAAGTCAGTTGTGCAAGAGAGGAAAACTGAAGTTTAGGAAAATTAAATGGCTTGCTCAAAGCCAACAGCTACTAAGGGGAGGAAATGGGATTCAAACCCAGGTCATCTGACTCTTACCTGGTGCCACTCTTGAGAATCAGGATTAGAGATGAGATGAAGGACAGCTGGACAAGTGACCTAACTCCCACTTCCTTTTATTTATTCATTTACTTCAGCAAATGTTTATTGAGCACCTATAATGTTCCAGGACCTATGCTAGGCGCCAGAGATACAGTATTAGATCAGACAAGGACAATGCCTTCATGGAATATAGAGTCAAGTAGAAAGTGTTGGGATCAGTGATTCCAGATTCGTGTGGGTGCTCAGAGAAGAAAGGGGGCTATAAAGCAATTATTTCAGAAAACTACATAGGAGAGAAATGTCAGAGGGTTGAGAAATAAGATTCTCGATTCCCAGTTCGGGATCCAGTATACATTAGTTACATTAATTCTACCTCCCACCCTTCTTGGTGTTTTCTTCCCTTGTACTTGACTATCAGACTACACTCTGGCTGCAGAATATAGTATCATTCAGGAGACCTGGGCCTGAGTCCTTACTCTGCCTCTTATCCTGCCTCTTACTGAGTAACCTCGGGCAAGTCACATAACCTATCTGAGAGTCAGTTTTCTTATTTGTAAAATAATTGGTGATCAAATGAAATAATGCACATGAAAAGTATCTGGCAACAGTGGATTTTCCCTAATCATTTAAGTTATTACTGTCAAGAATGAAACTTCCTGCCCAACTTCCTACCATTCTCTACCATCTCCAGGCCTTGTCAACCCTGGAACAAGGAAGCTGGGCATGAGAGTCAAACTGTTTTGCTTCCCGACAGAGCCCCGCAGCTGCAATGTTACCTCAGTGGACTGCACAGCCCAGGGGTGTAGGGTGTGGCTTTGACACGTGGCTGCCTGGGTTCAAATCCCAGCTTCTTCACTTACTAATTATATGACCTAAGATACGTTACCTAACCTCTCAGGGCAGATTATATCACATCTACCTGATCATGTTGGTGAGAGCATTAAGAGAGAGACTGCATATAACATCCTTGGCATAGAGCAAGTGCTCAATAACTATCAGTCATTGTTGTTATTATTATATGAAGCCTGTGCTGAAACAGGTGAGAGCTATGGAAGGAATGACAGGGACCTGCCCTCAAAGAGAATGTAGTCCAAGGGGATGTTGAACAAACACTCCTCAAAACATCATGTGAGAATTGACGATAGGAAGAAAGCCTCAGGTCAGAGCTGGCAGTAGCTACACAGCCCAGGGAATAAAACAAAAGTACCTTGGTCATGTCATTAATAAGTCTTTGACTTTGATTCTTTCTGGGCCTTAGTTTCCCCATCTATAAAATTAGCCCTTTAGACTGAATACTGTGTTGTCTGTTATGGTAACCATGAGCTGTAGTGACAGTTTAAATTTCAATTAACTAAAATGAAAATTTTTTATTTGAGGGTTTGGGATGTTGGGAGAAAGGGGTAAAGGGTTAAACAAGTACAAATTAGTAGTTGATACATGGTCATAGAGATGGGGAACACAGCATAGGAAATGCAGTAGAGCCAGAGGGGTGATAGAGTAATCAGGCAGATTGTTTCACAAACTATATAAATGTCTATCCAATGTACTGTTACTTGAAATTAATAATAAAATAAAACAAAATGCTAAAAGAAATTTAAATTCAGTTCCTCAGTCATGTGGCTACATTTCAAATGCTCAGTAGCTTTATGTGCCTACAGGCTACCATATTAGACAGGGCAGAATAGAATGTTTTCATCATTATAGAAAGTTCTATTGGACAGCACTGGACTAGAATGATTGTAATGATTCCCCTTGTGGCTTTAACATTCTCTGAGGGTGGGGATGATTGAAATAGCAGACACTATGGGAAGCAAGTTTGGGATCTGGAAGCTGGGAGTGGACACCATCTGACAGGCAGGACCCTGGAGAGGGGTTGGGTGGAGGGCAGGCTGTAGGCATGCTGAAGTGCTCTTCCTTAGAGTTCTCTTATTCTAGTGTCCCCCTACTCCATACCCTAGGCAAACTGCGGCATGTACTGAGCATGGATGGCTTCCTTAGCTACCTCTGCTCAAAGGACGGAGACATCTTCAAGCCAACATACCTCCCCATCTACCAGGATATGACTCAACCCCTGAACCACTACTACATCAACTCCTCTCATAACACCTACCTGGTGGGGGACCAGCTCTGTGGCCAGAGCAGCGTCGAGGGATATATACGGTGCAGTGGGAAGAAGGGGAGAAGGGGCTGAGCTCATGAGAAGGGACCATCTGTGGGAAATTGAGGAGTGCCGACAGTGGATAACAGAGATTGAAAAGATGTTGTGGCGGCGGGGTGGCGGCGGGGGGGAGGTTTGGGGCTGAGGATCCCTGGAGACCTGAGAGACTTGGAGGAGATACTGAAGACTGGTGGGAGAGTGGTATTGCAGCCCTATGGGTAAATGGAGCTTCTCTCTCTTTTATAGGCTGTGAAACTCTCTTGGAACTCAGAGGTCCTGACAGATTTATTTTGAATAAATAAATAAACTAAATGTTAAATGGAAGTCAATAGAGTATAGGAGTTAAAAACATAGGTTCTGGAGTCAGACCATTTGAGATCAAATCCTAGCTCCCTCACTTGGTACTCTGGAACTAAGTATTTAACCTCTCTATGCCTCAGTTTCCCCATCTATGAAATAGGGATGATAACAGTGTCTATTTTGTCTGGATGTTGTGAGAATTCAATGAGATAATTCATGTGTCAATAGCTGATAAATGGTACCTGCTCTTATTGTGATTAATCATGTATTAGATTAAATAGTCAAGATATCTTTGCAGTGAACTGCTAACTGAGCTAGTAGCTTCAAAGGATACAAAGATGAGTGGAACATATAGTTTCTGCCCTAGGAAGTCTAGTAGAGAAAATAAAGTATAAATTTACTGACAGTTTGAATAGCTCAGATGTTGTATAACAAAATACAACCAGAACACCAGAAACAACACGAGGCAGTATGTAACGGCTTGCTAAAGAAAGATTGAGTGAGGGTGGGGTGGTGGTGGTGGAGGAGAATAGTGTGAGCTGCAGCAGTGTCCCTGTGGATGGGGAAGGATCCATGGAGATGTAGCTTGAAGGGCTCTTGACAACTACGAGCGCGTGAGCACTGCTCTCTCCAGAGTGGGGAGAAGGTCCCCAGGTAGAAGATCAGACCTTGACTCCTCCTGTCTCTGGGGGTTGGGGTTCTTGCAGAGCCCTGAAGCGGGGTTGCCGCTGCGTGGAGGTAGATATATGGGATGGACCTAATGGGGAACCTATCGTTTACCATGGACATACCCTGACCTCCCGTATCCCGTTCAAAGAAGTTGTGGCCACTGTAGCACAGTACGCCTTCCAGGTAGGAGACCCAGGGTGGGAACACTGGTGAGACAAGAGAATCTGAGGGAAGAATGGCTGGCTCTGGGTTTGGGGAGGGCCGAGGGAAAAAGAGAGGGTGTCAAGTGGCATGTAGGTAAAAGAGATTTTAACGGTGAAGCACTGAGCAAATATTAAGGACTTATTATGAATAACTGTCGAGTGTGTTACTAGCAGTTAGTTGCCATAGAGGTAATTGCTAGAGATTAGTAACTATTACTTCTAACAACTTCTGTCACCTATCTGGGAGAGAGTGGATAAGGAAACAGACAGAGAAAATGGTGGATAGGGCTGGGGGACAATAGGAATCTAAAGATGAAAGCCTGAGAGTGTAACATGAACACATAACCAGGGGAGCGGCCTGGCCTTCACACTCTAAGCCTGAAAAATCAAAGATCCCAGAGGGACCTGAATCAGACCTGGCACGGGTCTGAGATGTGGGGTCCCAAGTGACTTTTAGATGTGGGGTGGACTCCAGACCCAGCAAGACCTCCTTGAGGCCTTGAATGAGATCGGAGGAGTTGAGAGAGTAGCTAGGTGGGCCTGGAGAAGCAAGGAAGTTACAGGCTTTAGAACTTTGGCTCCAGTGTCCCCTTCCCTCCCCATCAGACATCAGACTATCCAGTCATCTTGTCCCTGGAGAACCACTGCAGCTGGGAGCAGCAGGAGATCATGGCACAACATTTGACCGAGATCTTGGGCGAGCAGCTCCAGAGTACCACCTTAGATGGGCTGCTGCCCACTCAGCTGCCCTCACCTGAGGTAGGGACCCCTCGCCCCCAGCCCAGGCTCTACTGTGGCTTCCATACCCGCCACATTGGCTTCCTCCATGTTGTTCCCTTCTTCTCACCCTCAGATGAACCATCTTGCTCTTTAATATCCTTGTCATAGAGATAATTAGTGACTTTAATTTTTTAAAAAATCTAATTGAACACAGAATTCTATCTATAGTTCTCTGAATTGTAAATCAATTATTTACTTAATATTTATTTTATCAATGGAAATCTCTTAATTTTTTTCCTCATAGTCTGTAATCGTTGTAGACTATACCAACAGTATAAAGGGAACTCCCCCCAACGTAAAATCAACCTTTCCCAATAACTGCTGTCAATAGATTTTTAAATGCTTATATAAACATAAAGTGTATGTTTTAAAAAAATTGAAAAGATTATTCTCGATATCCCTTTGTATCTCACATATAATATATATCATAGGTGCCTTTTCATGTATAATTTTTTCATTATAATTTTTTCCTTTTTAATGGCTCTATAGTATTCCATTTTATGTTATGGACCATAATTTATTCAATCAGTAGATGGTAAACATTTAGGTTGTTTATAATTTGTATGTACAGCTTTGCCCATTTACTTTTTCTTTGAAAGGGATTCCTAGAAGCAAAATCACTGGGTTGAAGAGTTCGCATGTTGACATTTTGGTTATTATTGACAAGTTGCCCTCTGGAAAAAATGCCAAATTACACTCCAACCAACAGTATTAAGAGAGGGACCACAAATAGCTCCAGTAGTGAGATGATTCATAATGGCAAACATGAAAAAAAAAAGTCAAATATTTTTAAAAAAGAAAAGTTTATGTTTTCTTCTTTTTGGTTTAATGGATATTACCTACTTTGAAGGTTTATAATTTTTACTGATATACAACAATTTTTTAAATGTTTAAGATATTAATGCTTTGGAAAATATTTTTTTTTGCAGTCTATTTTTTCTTTTGTATTTAAAACATCTCCTGCCTTATGGAGGTTTTTAAGCTTTTTGTAATCAAATCTGCCAGTCATTTTTATGTCTTCTGAGTTTTCATCTCATGTTCTAAAGGCTTTCCCACCTTAAGATTATTCAAAAAGATTGTTTATTTTCTTCCAATATTCTTTATGTTCCTTATATTATGTAAATCTTTAATCTAGGAGGAATCTTTATGTGTCAGATGTGAGGTAGGGGTCCCCATTTAATACTTTTCCATATGGATAGAGATGTTAATAATTCAGGAATCCCTGCTGCATGTATAAAGCAGCCTTCTTGTGGGAACTTGTGACCACTCACTCACTTCCTTTGCCTTTGAGGCGGCCTGTGAGAGCAGGGGGCCCCCGGAGGGTCCCAGAGCAGACAGGTAAACAGGCTCCTTGAATTTTGTCCCCTAGGAGCTTCGAAGGAAGATCCTGGTGAAGGGGAAGAAGTTAAAGACACTTGAGGAGGATCTTGAGGAAGAGGAAGAGGAGGAAGAGCTAGAGTCTGAACTAGTGGGGGAGCAGGAGACTGAGCTGGAGCTGGAGACCCAGTTTGAATCTGAGACCCAGGAGTTGAGCCCTCGCAGTATGGACAAAAAGGAAAAGGTAGGCCAGGGAATTGGTCTTTCTGCTCTGGCATTTGGTCAGTCTGTACCACAAGCTGAGAGCCTACATGTGAACAGACTAGAGCCAGGCAGGGTAGAGGGCCGAGGAGCAAAATGCCCCTTGCCTCCGGTGAAAGAGATATAAGAATGCATACTTGGCACCACTATATATTGCCATATATAGATATATTGCAGTGGCTTTACAACTTCTTTGGGTCATAAAATCTTTTTAAATGAAATCTTATCTGGAAGCTCAGTATACAAAATGAATGCCATCCTAGTTGAAGTACCCATTTGGCTCTCTCCTGGGTCCTTTGGGTGACTCCTGAGACATCTTTGTACTAATTCCTCAGTCTCTTTAAAGGTCAGTTTAAAAAGCACTGATGGGTGTGTGTGTGTGTGTGTGTGTGTGTGTGTGTGTGTGTGGCATTATTAGTGAGCCATGACCTCAACTAAAGTGGGCTTAGTTAGAAAAAGCTTCTTGGAAAAGGCGAGTCAGCAGAGGGGCCAGAAATAGTCAAAGAGGAGCAGGAAGAGATGGGGAAGGGGAAGGCTCTGAGAAGTCTGTACCTGAGGTGTCCAGCTCCTTGTGGGGAAGGGGAGCCATTTGTGGGACTCTCATTATCCTGATTTGAAGTCTGCATTTCTCTCTCTTGTGCATGTGCTTGGCTCAGCTGACTGCTGTCTAGCTTATCCTGTTCTCTCCGGGGCTGTGGTATCTAAGCTGCTGCCATGTCCAGGGATAGAAATGGGAATTCAGGAGGCAAATCTAAAGATATTACTCTGGGACCCTCACATCCTTCCGGCTGTGACTTCCATGACCATTTGCATACCTTGACATGCCTGTCTGGGTTCACATACAGTTTGACCAAAAATTATTGTTAATTTGTTTTAACAGATGAGAGGCAGGGAGGATGACCTGTTTAAAAACAATAAATTAAAAACCTGGTACTCAGAAAATAACACAGAGCAGACCCTTTAAGCCCAGAGGCTGAAACTGATCCCACCAGTATATGTAGATTGCCTTTATTCCCATTCCTACCCCCAGGTTGTGATGTGCCCGCTGTTATGTCCGCCTATCTGTTGTCAGATTATGATCCAGGCTCCTCTTCCCAAGCTTAAGTCCCCTCTCTTTCCCAAGCAGGTGAGGCAGAAGGGAGAATGCATTGGGGAGGAAGTGGGCAGAGGCTTAGGTTGGGTGGGGAAGTTCAGATCTTGGCCATTGGCTTCTACCTTCTCAGATTGCTGATATTCAATTCCACTTTCCTCTTTACTTTCTCCTTTTCCAGAAATCCGCACCCATCATATGTCCATCCCTCTCTGCCCTGGTTGTCTACATGAAGACTGTCTCATTCCACAGCTTCACTCATTCAAAGGAACACTATCGCTTCTATGAGTTATCATCTTTCTCTGAAGCCAAGGCCAAGCGCCTCATCAAGGAGGCTGGTCAGGACCAAAAGGGAGGGACAGGAAGAGATAGGGATGGCTAGGGTCAGGTGTGATGCGCAAGCAGATGAGTCCCAAGAAAGAAGACAATGGAGTTAAGGAAGTATCAGGGAGCTAAGAAACTCCTCACAGCAGGCATGGAGACAGGAGTTATAAATAGTAGGCTCAAAGCTCTAGGGAGAAGACAACTACGGGAGATGGTTTGGATGGAAATGAGTAGAGGCACAGTGAAGTTTTCTGGAGCCAGCCTCAGGAGATGCTGGGGAAAAGAGTGAAGTCGGTGGGCAGGGTCCCTGAGACCAGGGGATGGGGAACATCCACCTCACTTCCATCTCACTACCTACACTCTCTTTACAGGCAATGAGTTTGTGCAGCACAATGCCTGGCAGTTAAGCCGTGTGTATCCCAGTGGTCTGAGGACAGATTCATCCAACTACAACCCCCTAGAACTCTGGAATGCAGGCTGCCAGATGGGTAAGGAGGCAGTAGAAACAGGGAAGAGGACGTAAGAGCGACAGGTAGGAAGTAAGTCCCTGGGTGGCAGTAGGGCCAGGAATGCTCCAATGAGAGTGCTCAGCCGAGAAAGTTATTCATAGAGGTGTTCCCAGCAGGCCCTTCTATACCAAATATGTCTTTTTAACTCCCTAAAAGAGGGGCTAGATGGCCCCCAAGGTGAATCCTTCCCTTCTCTTCTCCTGGGGCCCTCAGTGGCTATGAATGTGCAGACTGCGGGGCTTGAGATGGACATCTATGATGGGCTCTTCCGCCAGAACGGTGGCTGTGGCTATGTGCTGAAGCCAGAGTTCCTACGTGATACCCTGAGTTCCTTCCATCCCGAGAGGCCCATAGGCCCTTTCAAAGCCAAGATCCTCCTAATTCAGGTACAGTAGAGAGTGAAACTATTGGGAAGAAACTTGGGCTAGTTGAAATAGAAGCAGAGGAAAGAGGTGGTCAGGCCTGACAGGAGTGTAATGGGTCAAAGGTTCCTTATGGGAAGCAGGGCGGCCTGATTGTTAACAGCATGGACTTGGGAGCCAGTTGCCTAGGCTAAAACCCATTTACTAGTTGTGTAATGTTGGGCAAGTTCCTTAACCTTTGTCTCCTTACCTGCAAAATGGGGATACTACTACTACCTACCTCACAGAGTTGTTGTGATTAGTTAAAATAAAGTGCTTACAATGCCTGGTGCACAGTAAATGCTACGGAAGGGGTTGCTGTCATTAACATACCTTCCAAACCTTGTTAAACTTTGACTTGGATGCATTTTAAATTGCACATAGATTACTAGAAGGAAATATATTACCCATGGGGGATTGGCTTTGCAAACCCAAAGCTAGAGCACAAGGTCCTGTGTATCCTCCTTCCTCATCTTTTCCCCCCTCTTCCGGGGTACGAGGGCTGGAGTGGGGCTGGGCCGAGCAGGAACTATTGAAGTTTTAGAGCCCTGATTGCAGGTGATCAGTGGTCAGCAACTCCCTAAAGTGGACCAGACCAAAGAGAAGGCCATTATAGATCCACTGGTGAGAGTGGAGATCTTTGGCATCCGCCCAGACACAAGCCGGCAGGAAACCAGCTACGTGGAGAACAATGGTGAGGGATGGGTAGTGCTGGGGGCAGGTGGAAGGAGTATGACTGTCACTTTCCTATCATCCTACCCTCCATTAAGTATAGTCCATGTCACTACCCTCCCTCCCCGCACTTCCACGGGAGGCAGTGTGGAACACGACAAAGAATCAGGGCTTGGATGTCTTGGATCTGAATCCTGGACTCTCACTTATAAGCTTCAGTGACCTGGGCAAATTGCTTACCCACTGAGCCTCAATTTCCTCACCTTTAAAATGCTGACTGCTGTGAAATTTTAGGGAGAACACAGAAGCAACCCAGCACAGGCCTAAAGAAAAGTCAACACTGTCTGTTCCTTCATTCCCACCCTCATTCACACTGCTGCCCCGTCTCAGGTTTTAATCCGCATTGGGGGCAGACGCTATGCTTCCGGGTCCTGGTGCCTGAACTGGCCCTGCTGCGTTTTGTGGTAAAGGACTACAATTGGAAATCCCGAAATGACTTTGTGGGTCAGTACACCCTGCCTTGGACCTGCATGCAACAAGGTGAGCCTGTCCTTCAACATCTGGCCAACCTCCCAGCTCTGGCTGCCTTCCTAATGCTGTCCTCCTGTGCCTTTCCAGGTTACCGCCACATACACCTGCTCTCCAAGGATGGCACTAGCCTCCATCCAGCTTCCATCTTTGTGTACATCTGCATCCGGGAAGAGTTGGAGGAGGATGAATCCTAAGGTGGGCACTTTGTGAGAAGGGTGGGTGCATCTGATTTTATGTGGTAAGAAAAACCTAGAAAAATACTTTAGAAAGCAAACAGAAGTAAAAACCGCAGTGTGGGTTGTACATTCCTAGGCACAAAATTACCTCACCTTTCCTAACAAGCAAATCTAGGACTTTTCGCCTTCTTTCTCTTCCGTTTTCACAAGCCTTTTGGATCTTTCCTGCCCTTCCCCTCTGCGTACTCTATACTGGAATTCTTGCTGTGGGCTCAATCCTATACCCCGGCCGAAGAAGACTAATCTCACCCAACAACTCTGGCTCAAAGGCAGATGGCAACTAGAAATCTAGGGGGGCTTGGGGCAGAGAAACCCAGAGGCATTATCCCCTCCATCCTAACTTCCTCAAAGCCCAGAGCCAAAGAAAGGATAAACTAAGCCTCAAGGCTCCCCAGGCAAAGGCTGCGGAGGGAAGACCCGACTCCAAGACTGTACGACGCTCGAGAACATTGCTCAGCCCTCAGAGTCCCACCAGACTGCTCCTCCCTAGCCCTGCTGGTATAAATAGAGCTGCTCTCCTTAATTTGGCTTGGGTATGGTCTGTCATTGTTGGGCATGGAAGGGAGGAATGAGGGTCGGGGGACATTTGGGTAGACAGGTGGGGCAGGAAAATGTGGGAAAACAAGTTTCCAGAGGTCCCCCTGCATGTGCTACATAGGAAGGGTACAGAAGTATAGCTTCTAAGGGGCAGGGCAAAAGCAGCAGACAATGGGTTGCAAGATCCCAGCCCTCCTGAAGAGTTTGCCTGAAACAGTCCTGGTTTATGTCTGCTGTCCCAGCATAATTATTACTAGTACCCTTTTTAATCTTCCCAGTGTGTCCCAGTTTAGATGATTAATTATACAGTCACTGTGAGGCACTCATAGAATTCTGCATTAGATTTGCCACCCCTCCCCCAATCATTTGCCTTTCACACCATCTTTGTGCTTTAACTCTAGTGTAGCTGCTGACTCAGTCTGAGGATTGATGCTGAATTAAAGCTTCTTCCAGGGAGGCTTAGTGGGTGCAAGACCTCCCTCTACAGCTACACAAAGTGGCTTGGAAATAGGGAGAAGGGCAAGGACCAAGACAGAGAGAAGGCAGACCTGGGCCTGTCTGAGAATCAATCACTCACTGAAGATGGAAGGAGACAAAAAAGAGGCAGAGGTCTAACAGGGGACAGGCAGATCGAGATGACAGCTAGAAATGTTAAGACAGGGACTTGGAGGAATCTATAAGCTAGTAATCATTCTGTTTAACATGCTTTATAGAGCATTAGGCACAACACATGCGGTTAGATACAACTTTTGAGGATGTTGAATGAAATTAGGACTTGACATAGTAAAAAAGGAAAGAGAAGATGGAATGAGTAAAACCAAATTCTTATAGCCAGGGACTTTGGTGGAGTGATGGTAAAGAAACTAGGACCTCACAGGTTAAAAACAGTAGTGTGCCTCAACCTGAAATCAGTTTGTGATCCATGTCTTTTATGTAGCCATCAACTTCAAAGTACTATAGCCAGAGTCCTAGGAGGGTTCCAGCCACCTTGACACCCCAAAGCCAGCCTTTCCTTATGTTCTGAGCTTCTCAGGCTAGCTCTGGTTCCAGTCTGCACATCTTGGACCACACCCTCTTCTTGTCGGGAGGTGGGATGGCTCTCAGCCCTCGGGTCCAGTTGGGGGAGCAGAAGGAGCAGGAGGGCTGGAATCCTCCAACTGCACGTCATGCAGGTGCACTGTAGGGGTGGTGGGGTCTTTGCCTACGCCTTGATTTGGGTCAGCCTGGTCGGGGTGGTGCCTGCGCACATGCTTGACCACCTGGAACTTCTGTTTGGCCTTGTAGCTGCAGAGGCGGCAGAAGAAGGGGTGGCGGTCGGTGTGGGTGAGGGCATGGTGGCGCAGGCCAGCAGCCCAGCGGAAAGCACGGTGGCACACGTTGCATACATAGGGCTTGGCCTCGCTGTGCTTGCGGAGGTGGGTGCGCAGCAGGAAGCGTGTCTTGAAGGCCTTGCCGCACTGCTCACACATGAAGGCCCGGGCTTCCTGGTGCCGTGTCTCCTGGTGCACTCGCAGTGCGTCGGCCCGGTTGGTGCGGTACTCACACTCAGGACATTGGTATGGCTTTAGTCCTGTAGGTCATGGCAAAGACAGAGAACAAATCACCACTGAAGGGGGTGGGAGAAGATTCACTGGACCATAAGAGTCATTATGATCCTAGGACATAGAGAACACAAGCAGCAAGCTAACTAATGATCTTATCTTGGAATGTTCCAGTCTTGTCTGATGTTTCTGTGCCCTTCTCCCAACACAGCCAGTCCCTTGTATACAACAGATGCTCGATGAATGCTGATAACTAACTGGACCCCTAAATAGTCACCTGATAGCAATGGATTCTTAAATATGATAGAGTCTCCAAATGGGAGATTCCCACCTCCTTTTAGTCATGAGGTACTCATGGAACTTGGTAGGGGTGAAAAAAGTGGCATTCATAGACACGGAGGGCCTTGGAATGCATGAGACCAATTCCATTACACGGAGAGATCGTATGCAAAAATCACAGGCATACCATCATTAACCCTCTTCTGAGAACTTGAAGTTTGTGGACTCCATACCCAGGAGAAAAAAGGATACATTAACACAGGTGAACCCTCCCACTGCCTCCTCTTTACTCTTGATAGTTCCATCATGTCTACAGGAACCAGGCAGACCTGGTCCTCAATCGTTCATTTTTAAGTTGGGGGGTTCTCAATGAGAGGTGGGTGACCTGGTGCCACAATCACCTGGAAAGTTTTTGCAAAGTACACATGCCCAGGCTCTCAGGTTCACCTTTCTTCTGTTTCTGATACATCTTCAGTTGGTTGAGAAGCTATTCTGGCCATTTGGCCTACTCACTACCCCCAATGTGAAAACTGATGTGCACTCTGAATCTGAGTAAGGCCCACACCACCTCTGGGAGGCTGGGTGTACCAGGGAATAGGGGAACCCTTTGGGCTTGTCAAAATCTCGCAGACTCACCTGTATGCTTGGTCATGTGGTACTTGAGCTGGTTGACCCACTTGCACTTGTAGCCACAGTCAGGGCACAGATATTTCCGTTCTTCCTTGTGAATCCGCATGTGGTACTGGAAGAGGGAAAAGCAAAGAATATACCCAGAAAATGTGCATCCTTGGGTACTCGATGGATGTGGAAATAGGGGAAGCAGGCAGAGAAACTGTTGGCAGGTAACCCTGACCCCTGCTCCCATCCTACCCATACTTCCATTACCAATCAGGATCCCTAGTCTGGCCATTTTGACACCAACCTAACCCACTGGGCCTACCCCAGGTCTGCCCTATCTCAACTCTGCCACTTCTTATTTGTGTCTTTGGGCAATCTAACCCCAATTTTCACTTTATTAATCTGTAAAAATGGAAACTAGTAAAAGTAACTATAGCTCTTATTTTTGAAAGGATTCAAATTACAGTGCCCAGCATACAGTAAGCACTCAATAAATGTACACTGTTTTTTCAACCCTATGAAGTATTATCCCTATTTTACAGATGAGGAATCTGAGGCTTGAAGAAGTTAAAGAACTTGATGAAGGTCACAGAGCTAATACTCGAGAGAATCAGGCTTAGGGAATCCAGGTAGTTTAACTCCACAGCCTGTAACCCTTCCATTCCTGGCCCCCATGGTCCTTAACCTTACCTTGAGGCGGGAGGGGTCAGCACAGGCGTAAGGACAGAGGTGACAGTGGTAGGGCTTTTCCCCTGTGTGGATGCGGCTGTGCCAGGTGATCTTCTGTCGGTTCTTGGTGCTGTAAGCACAATCTGTACACTTGTAGAGCCGGGTGCCCCCATGCCCCTTCACATGATGATCTAGCACCAGCTGATGGCGGCACACAAAGTCACAAAAAGGGCAGTGCAGAGAGGGCTGGCCGGCATCCCCATCCCCATCAGAGGCTGCTGTTACCGTTGAAGTCTCCTCATGCTGTTCCAAGTAGTGCTTCACTAGGCCCACCCGCTCCCGGGCAGCAAAATCACAGAGCTGGCAGCGGTGGCTAAAATGCTGCTGCCTCCGGTGCTCGTCCAGTGCTGGCCGGTTAGGGAAGGCCTGCTGGCAGGCCCCACACTCGAGCCGTGGGTGCTGTTTACAGGTGTGTCCTCGCAGGCTGGCAGGACTGGGGCACTGCAACCCACAGCGTGAGCAGTGCAGGGGGCCCTCAGTGGCTTCTGCAGGAGAGCCAGGGGCTGGGGCTATAGGCTCAGGATGCCGGCGCAGAGCATGTTGCTTGAGTGCAGTCTCAGAGCTGAACTGGGCCTCACAATGGGGACAGGCAAAAGCTGGGGTGCCCTGGTGGCAGCTGTTGACATGGCGAGTGATATCATGGCGAAGGTAGCCACTATAGTCACAGAGGGGACAGAAGTGGGTGGGTGTTTTGTCATGTACCCTCAGCCGGTGCAAGCGCAGTTTTGAATTAGTACCAAATGTCTGGGGACAGGAGCTACAGGGGATGCGGCCAACACCTGTGTGTCGGGACTGGTGAGCCTCCAAACGGTACCTTCTGGTAGTGGAAAAGTCACAGAAAGGGCACTGATATGGCTTCACTCCTTCATGCTTGAGCCGCTGGTGCTGCTGTAGGCACCTGCTCTGTTTACAGATGAAGCCACAGTCCCCACACTGAAGAGGGGGCCGGGGGCTGCGGGCTGAGGCCACAGTGGGGTGCCTCCGCTTCTGGTGGAGCTTCAGGGCAGCAGCAGCAGGAGCAGTGAATGAGCAGAGGCCACAGTGCAACTCCCTAGACTGCTCAAGGGGGCAGCCCCGGGTCTGGTGAGTCCTCAAAGCCCGCTCCTGCTGGCAGCTAAAAGGACATGTGGGACAGGAGAAGCGAGCCCCTTTCTGCTTTGGAACCACAGCTGAGTCCCCATCACCAGGGCTGCACTCTGTACTCCCACTGTTTAGGGAAGCAGAGTCCCCATTGCTCAGTGGGGACAAAAGAGGCTGGGTCTGTGAGGCCCCTCGCTTTCCTCCCCCACGACGTCCCCCCCGGCAGCCTTCAGCCACATGAGAGGTAATGGAGGAGAGCCGAGAACAAAGGAACATGCATGAGTTGCAATGAAACTTGCCCTGCTCAAAGTAGAACTTCTCAGGGGGTGAGGAGTTTCCTGCAGGAAGTACTACAGAGCCAGAGAGTGGGGCCAGAGGCTCCTCTATTTCTTCTGGTCCCCCAGGAAGCTCAGAAGGAGCATCTTTTGGGAGCACTAACTCTACTTCTAATGGTGCAGGTGGGGGCCTCCCACCTTCTGCAGCCTCTGAGGCCTGGGTGCCTGAGGGCAGAGGATGCAGAGGAATGAGTGAATCTGGTCGGGCTAAGCCCTTGTTCTTTCTGAGTAGAACAGGGCACTTCTTCAGCAGGTGAGTGCTAAGGCCACGCTGTTGCTTGAAACTCGCCCCACACTCAGGGCACAGCAGGGGTTCTCGGCGGCCCTGGCACCCAGTCCTGGAGTGCAGACTTAGGGCCTTCTCCCGGCGGGCAATAAAAGGGCAGTGCGGGCAGCGGAAGGCCTGCCCCGCTCCTTGTATCACCACCATCTGAACCCGGCCCTCTAGCACCAGCGCCTCTGCCTGTTCTTTATCCTGTCTCCTTAGGGCCTTGAGCAATGACTCTGACTC